GAAGCTATTGGCCAACAAGAGGAAAGGCTTGCTGTCTAGTGAAAACCATTCGATTCCCTTCTCTTCCTTCCCATTTTGCCCAGGAGCCCAATGACCAAGGAGATTTGCAGTCTTTTCAATTCAGGAACCTGGCAGAAGGAAGTCATGCAACTCTGCTGATTGGGTCCACTGCAAGTTCATGTTATCTATCCTCAAGGAGGCCCTCATTGCTAACCAGCAATCCTTTTATTTTTCTTTTATTGACTCTACCCTGCTCCCCTCAGCTGCGAATTCCAAACTTTCTCCTCTCTCTCTAGTTACACCCTCCCCTCCCCTCTCCTTCAGCAAATGATCTAACTTTCTACTCTTCTGAGAAAATCACTGTGAGCTCTCTATCTTTTCTAGTCCACATCCCAGAAATCCTCTATATCTTCACTAATCCCCTTCTCCTTGATTCCAGTCTCCAAGGTAGAGGTGATCTTTGCCTGTACCAAGCCCAAACCAATCTCCCTACCTATCCCTATAATCATATTCCCTCCTATTTCTTCCAGGAATTTGTTCCCTCAATCATTCCCATTTTGTTCCAAGCTCATTATGTCCTTACCTATTGGCTCCTACCTCAAGGCCTAGGGCAGCTAGGTGGTATGATGGATAGAGCACTTGGAGGCAGAAAGATTCATCTTCCAGAGTTCAAAGATGGTCTCAGCTGTGTGACCCTAAGCAAGTCACTTCACCCTGTCTACCTCAATTTCCTCATCTGTAAAATGAGCTGGAGAAGAAAATGGCAAACCCGTACAGTATCTTTGCTAAGAAAATCCCCAAATAGGATCATGAAGAATGAGATATGACTGAACAACAACAAAAATGTCATGGACTGGAAACTTCCTCAGATACACCCATCCTTAAAAAAGTCTTCTGCTCCAATCATTCCCTTGAGCCCCCATCCTATGTCTCTCCCTTCCTTAACTTCTAAACTCCTAGAAAGAATCAGCTATACTTCTGACCCCACTTCTTTACTGAAACTGCTCTCACCAAGGCTGATAGCAATCTCTTAAATGCCAAATCCAATGGCCATTTCTTTGTCTTCATTTTCCTTGACCTCTGTGCTGCTTTTGGCGTTGTCCACTCCTCCCTCCTGAATCCTCTGGTCCTCCTTGGTCTTTATTACTGTCTGTTAGTTTATTTGTTTGGTTTTTGTTTTTCACCGTTTGGCTACTCTTTCTCAGTTGTCTTGTCCTCTACTAAGCAGTGCCCACCCAAGTCAGTCCAACAAGCATTTATTAAGTACTTCTGTATACCAGGCACTGTGGTAAGCACTGGTGATACAAAAAAACGACAAATATACTGTCTCTGCCCTCAAGGAGCTCACATTCTAATGGGGAAGGCAATATGCAAATAACAATAGAGATACAAGAAATATAATAAGAAGTGCTAACATTTACATAATGCCAGGTACCTGTGCTAAGCTCTTTACACTTATTGCCTTCTTTGATCCTCACAACAACCCTGGGAGGTAGGTGCTATTATTAACCCCATTTTACAGATGAACAAACTGAGGCAAACAGAGGTTAAGTGATTTGCTGGGGGTCATACAATTAATAGGTGTGTGAGGTGGGTTTGAGCATAGTCTCCCTGACTCCTGGCCCAGCATTCTTCGTCCTGTACTACCTAGCTGCCCCTACAGTGTCAAGTGGAAGGCCCTGGCAGTGGGACGGGTAGCACAGCAGATAGATTAGGGACTTGGAGTCAGAAGACATGGGTTTAATTCCTAGCTCATATACTTACATAGCTGTGTGATGCAGAGAAAATCCCTTAACCTTTATGTCTGCCTCAGTGCCCTCATCTGTAAAAAGGGAATAATAATAACACCTACTTCCAAAGATTGTTGAGAGGCTCAGATGAGTTAGCATGTAAAGTAATTTGCAAACTTTAAAGCATCATATAAGTGCTAGCTATTATTACAGAGGCAGCTAGGTGGTACAGTGCTACACTTGGGGGTTAGGAAGACCCAAGTTCAAATCCTGCCTCAAACACTTACCTGTATAATCATGGGCGAGTCATCTAACCTCTCAGCTTCATTTTCCTTACCTGTAAAACGGGATAACCATCTACTTTACAGAGTTATTGTCATGAGCAAATGAGATAATATATATATAAAACATTTTGCAAATTTTAAAATAAATGCAAGTTGTTATTATTCTTTCTTACTGATAACATCAACAGCCATAAGTTCAACAATCACCTCTACATAAGTGACTCCCAAATCTATACATCTAACCCTAATCACTCTTCCTAGTTTTAGTCCTGAATCATCAACTTCTTGCTGGATATCTCCTGAACGTACCATTGGCATGTAAAATTCAACACATCCCAAACAGAATTAACTCCCTCCTCCAAACTTCCCTCTTTCAGTTGAGGGTGCCACAACATTCCTAATCACCCAGGTTTACAGCCTCCAAGTCATCTTGACTCTTCCTTCTCTCTCACTTCCCACACGCAATCAGTTGACAAGTTTTGTCAATTCTGCTCCCACAACATCTCTCACATCTGTATCCTTTCCTCTACTTCTATGATCATCATCCTACTTCATACCTTCATTACTTCTCACTTAATTATTACAATAGCCTTCTAATTGGTCTCCCTATTTCTTCAGGCCTGTCCCTTTGCCAGTCTATCCTCCACAACTTCCAAAATAATATTCCTAACACACAAGCTTGATTACCTCACTAATCTGGCAAAAACACACACACATTTAATGACCCTATGTCACCTCCATCCCTGTATTTAAGATCCTGAATAATCTGGCTCCAACCTACCTTTCTAGTTTAGTTTTCTTTTGTTGTTGCTGCTGTTTTTCAGTCACGTCTGACCCTTTGTGACCCCATTTGGAGTTTTCTTGTAAAAGATAGTGGAGTGGCTTGCCATTTCCTTCTCCAGTTCATTTTACAGATGAGGAAACTGAGGCAAAAAGGGTTAAGTGACTTGCCCAGGGTCACACAGCTAGTAAATGTCTGTGGCCAGATTTGAACTCAGGAAGATGAGTCTCTACCCACTCTATCCACTGTTTTGCAGAGATTCTGTAATCTTGTTTTATAACATTCCCCTTTGGCACAATCTACCTCCCAGCAAAAGTAGATTGCTGACTATTGGTTATGCTTCACATATCAGCTCCTTTCTCTCTGTATTCACATGACTCAGAAACGCTCTAGAAGTATGTTAGAACCAGCTCCTACCAGCTCTAGAGAGCTGATTTAAAGTGTGAATACTTAGAGCTCTGAAATGGCAAACACTACAAACCAGGGTTTGATTTATTGTTCTGTTGATTGTCTAGACTTAAGAAAGTGATAGAGAAAATGTTAATAATGCAGATTAGATTTAAAAAATAATACAGATTAGATTTATTACACCTCTCCTTCAAAGAGAGTTGGTAAACATTTAGTAACATACTCCTGATACACACCATCCTCATTTGTTTTCCTCAGAATCCTTGTTTTCCTCCTCTGAGAAGCCTCAATTCCCTCACTCGCCAGGACTCTCTCATCAAATTATCTTTTTTTTTTCCCCTTTGGTGAGGCAATTGGGATTAAGTGACTCGCCCAGAGTCACACAGCTAGTGAATGTTACATGTCTGAGTCTGGATTTGAACTCAAGTCCTCCTGCCTCCAGGGCCAGTGTTCTATCCACTGCACCACCTAGCTGCCCCTTCTCATCAATTTGTGTTGTACTGTAATACAGAACATTATTTTGCCATTTAGGTAGTAGGGCCCTTTAAGCCATAGAAAGCAAAAGTTGGTGCTTAATCTTGCCCTAGACCTCTTTCCTCCTAAATCTAAACAATAGTGAAATGTACTCTTGCATAGCTCAGCATAGCCCGTACCTCCAACGCAAATGGATAAGAAAGCTTGCAATATAATTGCTTTAGATAATTATGTTTATACCAGAGACCAGGACGCCTGGTCTAGTTTGTGTGATCCCTGACCCATAATAATGGGGTGCTCAGGTGCTTGTGCTTGTACTTGTGCCCCAATTTCTCCCTAGTCTCAGAAACACTGTCTCTAACAACCACTCCCCAGCCAAGGACACTGTGCCTAGCAGTTATTCATGCATGGGCCTCACCATGACCCTTATCTCTCCCTGGTACAGCTACACAGAGCTGGGCTGCTCAGGCCCCAGCCCTTAGATCATGTCTCTGGAAGCCTCCCAATTCCTCAGTAAGTTCCTGTGTTGTGAGAAAGCTTTCCCTTGTTGCAGAGCATTCTCTCATCAAGACAGAGGGAGAGGGGTGTCCTTGACCAGCCCAAGAACTCTTCCTCTTGCCAGACTTCAAAGATCCATCCCCCTCCCTGTCCTGTATACTCCCTGTACTTTCCCATCCATAGCCCCCAAAGACACCTGCATCTTTGGATTACCTCATCAGTGTTCCTCGCATTTCTTTCCCATGCTCTTTTCTATATAAACCCTAGCTCGAATCGTGATGGGGGCTGCTTGATTTGGATGTGCATACCCCTGGCAGCTGCTCGCTACTAAATCCACATCTTAAATTATGTCTGGATCTCACTCGCTGATTTCTCGGTACAACAGTACTACATTTATCTATGCATTTTTACTTATTTCTCTACATTATATTGCACTTATTATTGCATTATATCGTATCTAATGTATTACACTGATCTATATAGGTGTATACAAAACATATATAGAGACATTTACAACAACAACAATAAAAAAAAAACCCATTAAGAACAGTTATTACAAGGTAATCTTGGAGAGAAAAGCAGGAGCAGCAGGAACAACCAGGAGAGACCTGAGGCAGAAGGAGTCACTTGATCTGAAGTCTTGAAGGAAACTCCCACTGCATCCAGAGCCATCTCCAGTCTTCCTGATCCATATCTGGCCACTGGACCCGGATGGCTCCAGAGGAGAAAGTGAGGCTGGTGACTTTGCACAGCCCTCCCTCACTTAAATCCAATTCACTTGCAAGTCATGCCATCACCTCCCTGATGTCATGATCCTCTTCGAGAATGAGGGACAAACAAGGAAACCTGGGATTCCAGGAGGTGGAGGTAAGGAGGGAGTATATTCCAGGCACTAGGTAGAACCAATGCAAAGGCACAGAGAAGGGAGGAGCAATGTTGTCTGTGAGTAAACATTCAGCCTTTATGACTGGACCGCAGAATGAGTACACTGAGGGAAAGATGAATAAGGCAGGGGAAGTAAGATTAGGCCAGGCTGTGAATAACTTGAAATGTCACCCTGAGGCATAGAAGAGTTTAGCAGAAACATAATTAATAGCACTATTTCATTCAGCCCTTTGAACCTATCTCTTCCCTCCTCCTAGAAGTTCCTTTCTATCTCTCCTTGCTGCCTCTCTTTGCTGAAAATCCTTTCTCCCGTATATGTCTCACTATTCTCCCAGAAGAAGATGCAAAGACTCTGCTTTTGTCTTCTTCTGTCAATGCTTTATTTTTTTATTTTGGTAGCAGGTGTCGTGTGCTGATTACTACATCTTTAAAAATGTTATGGCCACATTTTATTTTAATGCAACAGACACCTTCCAACAAACTCCCAAACAACCACCTCTACAAAGCACATTTCTTGAAAACAATCAACACCTCAGATCATGACAATATAGGCAACTTTCCCCTTTAGTTGTCCAACAATTGCTATTAGAAAGGATATATGCTTTAACTTGGGTTGTATGATACCAAAATTGTCCATTGTACTTGAGCTGATTTTTGTTGCCTCGAGCTTTTATTTTCATTGTTGAGGCCATTGTGCATATTCCTTTGGCTCTGCTTTCTTCACTCTGTATCAGTTCATATACATTTTCTCATGTTTCTCTAAATTCTTCTTAGTCATTCTTCCTTAGAGTGTGGTAATATTTCATTGTATGAACATACTATAATTTATTTAGCTATTCCCCAACAAATGGACTAGGTGACACAGTGGATAAAGTGCTAAGCCTGGGGTAAACCTGAGTTCAAATCCAGCCTCAGACATTAACTAGCTGTGTAACCCTGGGCAAGTCCTTTAACCTGTGTCTCTCTCCTCTTCCTCAAATGTAAAATGAGGTTGTTGTGAGAGTCAAATAAGATGATATTTGTAAATCAATTAGCACAATGCCCGGCACATACTAGGGGCTAAATCAATGCCTGTTCCCTTCCTTGTTCCTTACCTTGATCCTTCTTCCTCCATCAGTGGCTCTTCTTCTACCTCCTATCCTCAACTATGTTCTCTCAATCAGACCAACTCAATTCATTTCAACAAATAGCAAGTAGGCAGCCGAGCTACGTAAAGGGCTGTATGGAATAGTGGAGACAACTGCCTTGGAACCAGGAAGACCTGGGTTTAAGTCCTACCTCTAATATACACTCTATTGATTCACAAGGGCAAATCATTTAGCCTCTCTATGCTCCAGACAACTCTCTAAAAAGGTACAGACCTGCATTAAGAGAGGTCATTTTCTATATCCATGAAATCACAGATCTAGTCCCTATTCCTATATGCAAGACATTGTGCTAGAAATTAAAACAATTCTGAGGTACCACCTCACACCTATCAGAATGGCTAATATGACAGAAAAGGAAAATGACAAATGTTGGAGGGGATGTGGAAAAATTGGGACGCTAATGCATTGTTGGTGGAATTGTGAACTAATTCAACCATTAAGGAGAACAATTTGGAACTATGCCAAAAGGGCTATCAAAATGTGCATATCCTTTGACCCAGCAATACCACTACTAGAGCTGTATCCCAAAGAAATCAAAAGAAAGGGAAAAGAACTTATATGTACAAAAATATATGTAGCAGAACAAAGAATTGGAAACTGAGGGGATGCCCATCAATTGGGGAGTTGCTAAACAAGCCATGGTATATGATTGTAATGGAATACTGCTATGCTACAAAAAATGATGAGCAGGCTGTTTTCAGAAAAACCTGGAAAGATTTATCTGAACTGGTGCAAAGTGAAGTAAGCAGAACCAGGAGAACATTGCACACAGTAATACCAATATTGTAAGATGACTAACCGTGAATAACTTAGCTATTCTGATCAATACAATGATCTAAGACAATTCCAAAGGACTTATACTGAAAAAAATGTTATCCACCTTCAGAGAAAGAACTGATGGAATCTGAATACAGATTGAAGCACTTTTTTAACTTCATTTTTCTTGCTTTTTTTTTTTGCGACATGGCTAATATGGAATTATGTTTGGCATGATTTCACATGTATAATTGATATCGCATTTCTCACTTTCACGATGGGTGTGGGAGGGGAGAGAAGGAAGGAGAGAACACAAAACTGAAAAAAAATGTTATAAATAAATTAATTATAAATTAATTATAAATTAATTATAAAAAGACCCTGTGCTAGGTATTAAGAGTTTAAAGATCACAAACAACAATAACAACAATAATAACAGTTAGCATTTATATAACGCTTTAAAGTTTGCAAAGTGCTTTACAAATGTTATCTGATTTGACCCTCCCAATAACTCTGTGAGTTACATACTATTATTATCCCCATTTTACAGATGAGGAAAATGAGGCTAAGAAAAGTCTAGTTGTTAAATATTTACAGGGTCACACAGCTACCAAATATCTGAGTCAGGATTCGAACTCTGGTCTTCCTAATTCCAACTCCAATACTATCTACTATGCCTCCTATATAGTTTTTTCACTCAAAGACTGTAAGACATATGCAGAGATAAATATGATACAAAGTATGATGTAATAAGAAAGAAAAGAGAGATTTAGACAATGTGTTATAAGGAATTCAAATTTAAGGAGAAAGATCATTTATAGCTGAAGGAATAGAAAAGGCTTCATAGAGAGGGCTACACCTTGAAGTCTTGACCGTGAAGAAAGATGCTGATATGGAGAGATGCAAAGAGAGACTGTTCCATAAATAATAAACAATCTGCCAGAATGCTTGGGAAAGGGCAAGTAGTATGGCACAGGGGGAAGACTGTTGGATTTGGACCTGGGTATGAATTCCAGCTTTGTCATTTACCACCTGTGTGACTTAGGGTTGGTCAGTTTCACCTCTGTGGGCCTCAGTTTCCTCATCTGTAAAATACAGAGGCAGGACTAGATGATCACCAAGGTAATTCCAGCACTGAATCTATGATCCTATAATCCTATGGGAAGGAGAGGTAGTGGGGAGAAAAGCTTTTTTTTTTTTGAGTTTGTGAAAGGGAAGAGAAATATAGTATTATAGCTTGGGGGGAGTAGAAAAGAGGGATATACTATACAATTCTTCTAGTAATAAGAACAATATTAATAATGATAATAAATAGCTCATTGTTATTATAACATCTTGACTGGTTGACAAATTGGTTGATTTACTAAAACTAACCCTTACTTCTAGGACACCCACCCAAACACAATCTCATCCAAATCAACATTCCTTGAAAGGGTGTTCCAAGGCCTGCTTGAACCTGATTGTTAAATTTTCTGTGGGAGTATTTATACAGCAGGAAATCAGCAAGCCCTACAATTCAGGGCTTGCATTGTTTTTAAGAAAGTGCTGGAGAGAATGTTAATAATGCTAATCAAACTTAAAAGTGTGTGTGGCTACATTTTTTTTCTGGTTGTTAAACATTTACCAGCATACTCCTACATGTAAGGCACTGTGCTAATAATCACTTGGAATACAAAGTCATGAAATATAGGACCTGTCCATCTGGAAAAAAAAAAGCTAATTGATCCTACACAGGTTAGAGAAATATTGGGGGCTTTTAAGCACTATTAGGATCGTTGGTTCCAAATTCAGATAAAGATAAACCAGGCCCTGTTCCAGCATGAACTGGTTCTGTTGTTATTGGTAGGATCTTTTTTTCTTTTTTTGCCTTTCCAATACACGAGAACTAGTTTCTCAAATCCACTACAAGTGCTTTTTAAAATATTTTGGTGTTTTATTTACTCTGCTTAAAGAGGATAGCTAACCGCCATACTTTCATCACCAATCGACTTCTTTCAGGAGATATTGACATTTCAGTTAGCTTTGAAAAGCCCTTAAGACATTTTCCCTCTTTGCTTAAGAGTGAAGCCTATTTGTATAATGGGCTGGTTTCTGCATATGAGCTTTCAGAGTTATTAAATCAGGCTCTCTCAGAACCTCTACTGTTCACGGTTTTGTTAGTGTAGTCCATCATTGGATGAACTCGAAAATAATAAAAAAGGTTTTTTAAAAAAATTCTATAATCCAGATATCTTACTTGTTTTTCTTCAGGCCAAGTTCACTAAATTGAGGAGATTGTGGCCTGGCGTTCCTTTTTCTCCTCTCCACAAAATGTGTCTAAATATGAATATGTTTTGTGGATTTGTTAAATGATTCTCACTCACTCTCCCCACTGACAGGGCATGTATTTGTGGGAATATTTCATTAAAAGCCTTTTCTTTGAAGCAATAGTGTTCTCCGGCTGTATAGAAAAATCACATTAGTGAGGGACTGTTGGCTGTGATGTTGAGTGGAGGTGATCCAGTTGGGTACCTCAAACCTGGGATAGCTATTCTATGAACTCCACATGTGAGAGGAGTGGGACGCAGGTGCTATACAACCATTATTGAATAAATAGGAGACATTGCTTCCTAATGGTTTTAGATGGTTTTAGATTTCAATGGGTACTTTGATGGACCCATGATTTTAGATTGGTATCCACCAATACAAATCATAACTCTCTCTGTCCCTTCTCATCCTGTGTAATTCTCTTATCCATGTTTTCCCATAAATCCTCCAAATGTTTGATTCATAGGAAGTCTTCCTTGAGTTCTGGTTCTCCTGGAAATTACCACTGTGAATGGAAAACAGCTCATTGGAAAGTGTTGGATTTGGAATTAGAGGATTCGGGTTTAAATTCCAGCTCTGCCACTTACCACCTACGTGACCTTGGGCAAGTCACTTTGCACCTGTGTTCCTCAGTTTCCTTATGTGGGAAAAGAAAGGGTTGTCCTAGTTTTCCTCTGAATGACCTTCTAATTCTACAACTATGACCCTAAGAATATGCTGCTCAGACCATCTATCTGCTGTCTCTGTCTCACTACACAACTGACCCACCTT